AAATAAAAAAACAAAGTTATATAAGATACAGTTCTTATATCTTAAATGTGCAAACAAATGTGCAAACAAATAATTATAGTACAATGTACTAAATACTAAAACAGAGGTAAAAAAAACAGAGGTAAAAAAAGTGCTATAGAACAATAGAGGAGACAATGACCAATCTGTCAGGAACAGGGAAGTCAGTGTCTTTAATGATATGTATTTGAGCAATATAGAAAAGGAAATAGAGTAATTCCAGGCACAGGATCTGTCTACATGTGCAAAGATACAGGGTATCAAACAGCATGATGAGTTTGGGGAATAACAATAACATTGATATGAACCCCAGGGAATACCAATATTTAGAGGATAGGCAAAAGAAAAGCAGTTACTTCGGAAGAAGAATAAAATAATCAGAGGTGAGAAGAAATTCAGGACTATGGTTTTGAAAGCCAAAGATGGTAGAACTCCAGGAAGTATTTAACCACTTTTGGATTTTGTAATTAAGAGGTTACTGGAAATCTTTGAGAAAGGAGTTTGACAACAGAGGTGGCTAAGTCAGATTATAACAGTATTATACATAACAGGATCTAATTTCCTTTCTTGCGCTAAACCAAGTCCTGGAAGTAACTCCTCTGAAGTAATCATTCAGGCACAGCTGCACCATACAAATTGGAAAGCTGTTTCAGGCTTGTATATTTCTTACCAAGTAAGTGAATGAGCTTAGCTACTTAGTCCCCTCAGAAACCTCAAAGTATTTTCCACACATTACCCACATAATTGATTTCAAAACTGCCTGCCTGATAACAGTTTCTACAACCCATTTATTTCTTCTTCAATCATGTTCCATGAACTATTCATTTGATTTTCTGAAACTACAGATGTAACTGACCACATATTGACACCTACTCCCTACACTACTCCTTAATGTGAGTGATGGATCATTCTTCAAAACTCAATTCCAGAATTCTAAGAGATCTTCAGATGGAGAATTTCACTGAGTGGGTCTCATCACAAGTGGGTTTGCCTTCTATAAATGGGTAGAACAGTATCATCATATTGTCAACATACTTGACCATCCATGTTTTTCTTAACTAAGTTGTAATTTAAACACAGTAAAAAAAAGGACAACTTAAGTGTTCAGTTAGATTAGTTCTGGCAATTGTGATCACTCCTATAACCTCCATCAAAAACAAAACACTGAACATTTCCAGCACCTCAGAAAATTCCCTCTTGCCCATTTTGATCAATTTCCAACTCACCAGACTTCTGGTTTCATCACTAAAGATGAGTTTGGGCTGTTCTCGGCCTTTATAGAAATAGAATCATCCAGCATATATTCTTTTGTGTCTATTTTCTTTTGTCCCAACATAACATTCTAGAAATTTATTCATGTTGTTGCCTGAATCCCTTTTTATTGCTGAGTAGTAAGTAGTTCATTGCATGACTGTATCACAATTTGTTTATTCATTCTCCTATTTGGGGCATTTGGGTTGTTTCCAGTTTAGGCTTTCACAAATAAAGCTACTATGAAATTCTTGTACAGTGTTTTTTGTGGCCATATGTTTTCATTTTCCTTGGGTAAATACCTAGAAATGTTACTACTGGTCACAGGGTAGGTATATGTTTAGCTTAATAAGAAATTGCCAAACTTTTTCTAAGGTGGTTGTATCATTCTACATTCCTATTTATAGTATATGAGAGTTTCTATATACTTAGCATTAGGGTAGGCCTTGTGATTTTGGTATTATCAGGCTTTCTTATTTTAACCATTTTAGTGGGCATGGTATAATATCTCATTAAGGTTTTTTTTTTTTTTTTTTTGAGACAGAGTCTCACTTTGTTGCCCAGGCTAGAGTGAGTGCCGTGGCGTCAGCCTAGCTCACAGCAACCTCAAACTCCTGGGCTCAGCGATCCTACTGCCTCAGCCTCCCGAGTAGCTGGGACTACAGGCACGCACCACCATGCCCGGCTAATTTTTTGTATATATATTTTTAGTTGGTCAATTAATTTCTTTCTATTTTTGGTAGAGACGGGGTCTCACTCAGGCTGGTTTCGAACTCCTGACCTTGAGCAATCCGCCCGCCTCAGCCTCCCAAAGTGCTAGGATTACAGGCGTGAGCCACCGCGCCCGGCCTCTCATTAAGGATTTAATTTGCATTTTCCTGATGACCAATAATGTTGAGAAGATTGTGTTTATTGCCTATTTTGTACATATTCTTTTGTGAAGGCTCTGCCTTCAGGTTTTCTTAATCTCCATGGTTTCTTGCCAAGCTAACAAATTGTCTACATATATACAATGGTCATCTAAAATATTATAGTAGTTTTCTATTCCTGCTGTTATAAATTACCACAGTTAGTGGCTTAAAACAATACAAATTTATTATTTTCAGTTCTGTAGATTAGAAGTCTCGCTGAGCTAAAAACACTCTCTCATACTGGTGAAAATGTCCACATTTTCACCAACATCTGTTTGCAATGATGTTAAGTATTCTCTAAGGCGATAAATGTTTTCTCTATCCTGCTCCTCACATCTTTCTGAGTCTAGCAGAATCGTTAACATCCCTATTTCTACTAACAGTCTGTTCACAACAATCTAGGGTCTTTCTAACACATACCTCAAAATTCTTCCAGCATGTGCTCATTGTCTAATTCCAAAGCTACTTCCATGTTTTTAGCTATTTGTTACAGCAGCACCCTACTTCCAGGAACCAAAACCTGTACTAGTTTAAAATACCACAAACTTAGAGGCTAAGACAACATTCATTTCTTTATCTTACAGTTATGTAAGTTAGAAGTCCAACACAGGTCTCACTGGGCTAAAATCAAGATATCAGCAGGGCTGCATTCCTTTCTGGAAGCTATAGGGCTGGATCTGTTTCCTTGCTTTTTCCAGCTTTTAGAGGTTACCACATTCTTTGGCTCATGGCCCTCTTGCTCCATCTCCAAATTCAGCAACACTGCATCACTCTGATCCTGCTTCCACCATCACATTTCTTTACAGACCCTCTTCTTCTGCCTCCCACTTCCATTTTTAAGAACTCTTTTCCCTATAGGGCCCTGAATAATCTGAGATGATCTCCCTATCTGCTATTTAGAAACTTTAATTCCCCTTTGCTATATAATGTAACATATTCATAGGTCTTGGGAATTGGTACGTGGACATCTTTGAGGGGTCATTATTCTGCTCACCACATCTACTAATCACCTAAAATGAACTAGAAGTAAACCACAATTAAAGGTGCCCTAACAAGACTCAGAAGGAAGTATTAACACCTAAAAGAACAAACAAAAGAACTCTCAATACTAATTTATTTTAGATTTTTCAAATATTGAGTGAATCTCACAACCTAATTAGATTTTCTGTTTCTTACTTGTGGCGGGCACTGGTAGCTGACTAATCCAACACCCATTTTCAACCCTTCTCCCTTGCCTGCCCCGGATACTTGGGCTATAAAAGCTAAATATTCACTTTCCTGGCCTCCTAAGGATAGTCATATAACACAGTTTTGCCAAATGAAATCTAAAAATTGCCTAGGGAAAAGATATTGCATTCCTGATAAAAGAGGCAGATGGAGCCGGCACTCCCTGGCCTCCTTCCCAGTACCCCTCCTGCTGTGAATGTGTTACATTGCCAGTAATGCAGGCATCTAGTTTGCAATAATGGAGAAGGTCCAAAAGAACTCAATAGACACTAGCCCTGACACTGTTGAATTACTGAACCAACACCAACCACTCTATGCCTCTAGACTTATGGTTATATGAGGAAAATAAAACTCCCATCTTGTTTAAGTCACTGTTTACATCTGCTTTTCTGTCATTTTCAGCTGAAAGCTTTCCTAATCAAAACTATATTCAACACAACTGCTGGTTAAACACAAGCACCCTCCTCCACAAATTTAAAACATAACCAGATCCACTTAAGTGAGTTATAACTAATAATTAACCAAGGCAACTATTTTTAAAATAACATGTTATATATTTTAGAAACTATGAATTATACAAATTCATCCTAGGACATTTGGAAATTATCAAAAGTTTAAGGAAAATAAATATTAGCCACCATCGCAAACACTCAGAGTTAACCTACTGGTAATCAGTGTACTTCCATCTATGTTTTTTATATACATACATAAAATATTTTTAAATGTGAAACCATAAGGAATACATAGACTGAAGCCAACTCCCATTTAGCACTTTAATGAGGACTTATTTATATCATTAAATATGTTTCAAAAATATTTCCAAAATTTAAAATACTTTATAATGATAACATGGCTAAATAATTTTAATAATGCTAGACATATAAGTTGTTTTGTCCTTTTTGTTAGTGTAAACAGTGTTGCAACAAACATTATCATATTTAAGTCTTTCTCTGTTGTATCGATTATTTTCTGAGGATAGTTCCATAGATGTGGTATTACCAGGTCAACAAGAATCCCTTTCAATCAATCAACAAATGATGTCAAACCACCTTCTGGAAAAAATCAATCAGTTTATTACTCATATCTCCTATGTACAGGAATGTCTCCCTTACAAGTACTAATTGCTGCTTCTTGTGCTTTTTTTTGCCAGTTTGATGAGTAAAGATATTATAACTCATTCTTGAATTTTTAATTTACTTTTTTTAGTTACTAGTGAAAATGAATAAATATATTTAGATAATCTATATTGGTTATTTCATGAGTTCTCATTTTTTTAATGTAAGAGTTCTTTATATATTATAGATGCTAGCCTTTTGATATATTTGTTGTAAATATTTTATTTTAGTGTACATGTATCATTTACTTTCTAGTTTTGTTTTTACATTTTTATGAACATTTTAATATCATAAAATTTATTAGTATTATCCCTTGTGATTTCTCTCTCTGCTTTATCAGATAGGGATAGTTTTCACATGGTGACAACTGCATTTTAGAAAAGAATGTTTTAAATTTCTATTGGCTTTCTTATAGAGCACAGCAAATATTCTACTAAATATATAAGCATCCCATTCTAGATTTTGAGCATTCACATACCTGCTTGTGACAATTATCACATCCTCAGAGATGGTAGCCATTTCTTTGATGGTAAGGTAGCACATTCTCCTCAGTGTTTGCTGAAAAAATTATTTATAAAAGGCAACAGATTATTCAAAAGGAAATGGTTTTTAAAATTGTTTGAAGTGAGGACCCCTAATAGACATATTTAGAAAGATATTCTTAAAAAGATTCTCATCTACCAAAAAAATCTTTTAAAAAATATCTGAGTGAGTAAATATTCAGAATATCTCTATTTCCAAAATACAAAGAACTGATGCATTGACATACTGGAAAACATCCAGGTACAAACTTAAAATTCAATTATATGGTTCTTTCTACAAAGAGATCCAAACTTAGATTCTGATAGTTTGAGTACAAAGATAAGGGTTTTTCAAAGTGTTAAAAGGCTTGTGCTGGAAAATATAGTTATAAAATTCTTAAAATATATATATGAAGAGATGTGCAGATTCCCTCTCAGGTCAGTGCATACCAGTGCTTTTCCCCGAACCCTAAATGATTTATGGTTGGATAACTAACTTCCATTTTCAATTATCAGGATTACTAGATGAATATCTGGATCCAAAGTAAGCACTAAGCTAACAATAACAAAGTGTCACCTACTCTGTCCTACTCCCTTGGATCTCTGATTTATTCACTCAGGATAAATGGGCAGTGGTCAGACACCAGGTTCCTCTAGTCTTTCCAGCCTTATTCCCTACTAAATCCTATAAAAAGAGAAACCCAAGTACATCAGACCTAGCTCCAGAGTCCAAGCTATAGAGAGAATCTTGAGGCTACTGGGCCCATTTAGGAAAGAAAAGAAGAGAGGAAGGATTCTCATGGTGATTAAACACTGAAAAAATCAAAGAGAAAGCCAGTACGGGGCAGATCACAGCCATACAAAGCTGCTTTGAGAAGAAAACAGAAAATAAGAATCAAAATTTCAGGGCTGAAGAACCACTCAATAAAAAACCACCATGAGAAGCAGAAGAAAACTGGAGATACAAAAAATTAAGCTAAAGTGCAAAAAATGGAGGCTAAACATTATCAGTTATCAAGGAAATGGAAATTAAAACCACATTTTAGACACCACCTCACATCCACCAAAGCAGTGAAAATTCAAAAGACTAACAATACAAAGTATACGCAAAAATGTGCTCTTAACCACTAAAACATACTATATAAACAAACACACAGAAATGCGGAATGAAATATGAACAAAAAACTTAAATATGTAGCCAAGGGCAAAATAAAGGGAGACTCACAGGTGCTAGAAATGAAAACAAACAAAAACACTGTACCACAGAAATACAAGCCCAGGATCTTATTGGCATGGGATATACTATCTAAGGTCTAGGAAGAATGGGATTTTAAAAGGTAGTTTCTTAGGCACAAAGTAAATTATCCAGATAACTCAGAAATACAGCAAGGAATGAAGAGTTTTAAAATAAGTGGTAAAGACATGAGTAAACTGCAGTGAACAACAACAAAAGATGCACCAAGAAAAGATATTATATAAATATATGTACGTAAATATATATGGCATGTGTATGTGTGTATGTATACACATATATATGCTTATATACTCATATACATATAAGGAATAAGAGTGTCCTAAGAATCTCGAATTTCCTATGAGCAGGGAAATGACAAAGATGAATATTAGATTTTTATAAGTCAAAAATCCATGTCACAATTTTTAGGGTAACCACTAAAAGAACTTGCAAACCACTATCTCATGTGTCACTTATGCTCTTCATTTCCATTCTGTCTTTTTTCTCTCTTTGCTTTATTTTGGACAGTTTCTATTGCTGTCTTCAAGTACATTGATTTTTCCCCTATATCTCTAATCTGCTATTAACCCCATGCAATGTACTTTTTGTTTCAAATATTGCTTTTCTTAATTTTTGGAAGATACCTTTGGACCTTTTTGTATGTCTTCTATTATTCTTGTTATGTCTTTCTACATACTTTTTTTTTTTTGGACAAAATAGTTTTTTATTTTTCATGTCAAAGAGAAGTGGGTGATTTTTTTAAAAAACATCTGAGATAGAATTGGTGATAAAGTTAGAAAAAAAGACATAATGAAAAGTAAAAATAAGGAATATGCACCAGGCAGGAGAGACTGTGTCTACTGTGCTTTTCAAGCTATGGCAGAGCGTCATGAAATCAAATGAATGGGTTATGATTAGCATTTTTTTCATGAAATGAAACAGGATGGGATGAGAAGTTATGGGATGAGATGGGGAGGTCTGGTATAAGCTGGGATAGGGTAGGACAGAATAGGAAATACGTAGAATATATTACAAGTAGTAAGAGCCAGTGTTATTTCTTCAGACCTTTAGGTTTCTTTCCAAGATTTTTTGTTTTACCAAAGTAATACACATACCTAGTTTTCAAAGTCAAATAATAAAGATTAACACAAAATGAATCACAAACATAAATATATAGCATAACACTTTAAAAAAAAACACAAAAGAAAATCTTTGGGATCTAAAGCTGAGCAAAAAGTTCTTAGACTTGACACCAAAAGCATTATCCATACAAGGAAAATTGATAAAGTGGATCTCATCCAAATTAAAAACTTTTGCTCTGCAAATGACCCTAAAAAGATGAAAAAGCAAACTGCAAACTGAGAGAAAATATGCACAAATGACATGGCTGATCAAAGATCAGTATCCATAATATACAAAGAACTCTCAAAACTCTACAGGAAAAAAATAAAAAAACAGTTGAAGTAGAAAATAGGCAGAAAACATGCATGGGTATTTCACTGAAGATGATATACAGATGACAAATAAGTGCATGAAAAGATGTTCAACATCACTAGCCACTGGGGAAAGGCCAATCAAAACCACAGGAGATATCACCACACCCCTATCAGAATAGCTAAAATAAAAAATAGTGACAATGCAAAATGCTGGGGAAGATGCAAAGAAGCTGGATCATTCACATGTTGCAGATAGAAATGCAGAACAGTACAGTCTCTCTGGAAAACAGTTTGGTAGGCCAGGCGCAGTAGCTCACGCCTGTAATCCTAGCACCCTGAGAGGCTGAGGCGGGTGGATTGCTTGAGGTCAGGAGTTCGAAGCCAGCCTGAGCAAGAGCGAGACCCTGTCTCTACTATAATTAAAAAGAAATTAATTGGCCAACTAATATATATAGAAAAAATTAGCCGGGCATGGTGGTGCATGCCTGTAGTCCCAGCTACTCGGGAGGCTGGGGCAGCAGGATTGCTTGAGCCTGGGAGTTTGAGGTTGCTGTGAGCTAGGCTGATGCCACGGCACTCACTCTAGCCTGGGCAACAAAGCAAAACTCTGTCTAAAAAAAAAAAAAAAAAGAAAGAAAGAAAGAAAGAAAGAAAGAAAGAAAGAAAACAGTTTGATAGTTTCTGATAAAACTAAATATGCAATTACTATATGACCAAGTAATCACATTCTTGGACATCCAACCCAGAGAAATTATATTCATACAAAAATGTACACATGAATGCCCATAGCAGCTTTCTTCATAATAGCCAAAAACAAAACCACCTTTTCAGCAAATGAATGGTTAAACAAACTATGGTTCATATGTGCCATGGTATTTACCCCTCAGCAACACAGGTGCACCAACTACTGATATACACAACTTGGATAAATCTCAAGGGAATTACGCTGAGTGAAAAAATATCAATCCCGAAAGGTCACATACCATATTAAACCAATTATATTATATTCTTTTTTTAATCAACTTTATTTTTTACAACTGTTTTAGGTTCACAGAAAATTCAGCAGAAAGTACAAACAGTTCCCCTGCCTCTCCCATTATCAACATCCCTCACCAGAGTGGTACATCTGTTACAATCTATGAACCTACACTGACACATCATTATCCACCAAAGTCCATAGTGTATATTAGGGTGGACTCTTGGTGGTGTACATTCTATGGTTTTTTTTTTTTTTTATTTAAATAGATTTAGGGGGTATAAGTGGATTTTTGTTCTATGGCTGAATTGCATAGTGGAGAAGTCTAGGCTATTTTAATACACCCATCACCTGAACAGGCAATGAACACAATAGGTAATTTTTCAGCCCATACCTGCTTCCTCCCTCCCCCTTCTGAGTCTCGAATGTCCATGAAGTCACTCTGGATGACCATGCATATCCATGGCTTAGCTCCCACTGATAAGTGAGAACATGCAGTATTTGGTTTTTGTTCCTGGATTAATTCACTCAGAGTAATGGCCTCCAGTTCCATCCAAGCTGCTGCAAAAGATATTTCATTCTTTTCATGGCTGAGTAGTATTCCATAGCATACATATACCATATTTTCTCCATCCACTCATCTGCTGGTGGGCACCTAGGTTGGTCCCTTATCTTTGCAACTGTGAATTGTGCTGTGATAAACATACAGGTGCAGATGTCTTTTTTTAATTTACTTTCCTTTGGGTAGGTCCCAGTAGTGGGACTGCTGGATCAAATGGTGGATCTGCTTATAGTTCTTTAAGAAATCTCCATATTGTTTTACTAATCTACATTCCCCCCAACAGTGCATAAGTGCTTCCTGTTCACACAACCAAGCCAGAGTCTACTGTTTTTTGACTTTTTCATAATGGCTGTTCTGACAGGGGTAAGGTGATATCCCACTCCGGTTCCAACTTGTATTTCTCCAATGATTAGTGATGTCAAGTACAGCTTGGTATGTTTGTTGGCCATTTGTTTCTCTTCTTTTAAAAATGTCTGTTCATGTCCTCTGCCTACTCCTCAATAGGATTTTTTTTCTTGTTGATTTATCTGACTTCCTTATAGACTCCAGATACTAGACCCTTGTCAGATGTATAGCCTGCAAACATTTTCTCCCATTCCATAGGCTGCCCACTCATTCTGTTGATTATATCTTTTGTTGTGCAGAAGAGTTTAAGTAAGTCTTATTTATTGATTTTTGTTTTTGCTGTGTTTGCTTTTGGGTTCTTAGTCATAAATCCTTTACCTAGGCCAATGTTGAGGATAATTTTTCCTAGGTTTTCTTCTAATGTTTTTATAATTTCAGGTCTTATATTTAAGTATTTAATCCATCTTGAGGTAACTTTTATATT